CTGCTAATAGCATGAGGCTATTTTACAGGAGCGACCAAACCATGGCTGAGACTTGCCTCCAATGGGCACCACAGAGGAAGGAATAAAAAGTTCCATACCCTGAAGTACCACATCAGCGACAGAATCCGCAACAACGTTGGGATCATCCGGCGAGAAGCAAACCCGCCCCCAAGGGTAGGATGCAAAGAAAGACCGCATCCCATCCCAATCGGCTGACCTATAGTGCCAAACACGGCGGCAGCCTGCAGAATGCAACCGCGATTTCAGCGTGAGTGGCACCACACTCCGGACAAGACAATGGTCCGAGGAGCCTAAAGGGGCGTCGACGGATATCTGATATCCGTCCGGGTGAGAGGTCAGCAGAGGGTCCAACAGGGAAGGTGCATGATCCTCCACATCTGGAATCCGCGTAGGCGAAGTAACCAATTGTGTCAGACCATATGCCAAGGCAAAATCATGAACAGATCTCCCCCGCATGATCGGTTAAACGTGAACCAAGCCATTCGGCGTGATGGGCGTTAAAGTCGCCGAGGATCACGATCTCTGCGGAGGGGATCTGCTGTAGCAACGAATCTGCAGCCATTTGGACGTGGTCGAATAGTCGGTCTGTTTCGGCATTACCGCTATGGGACCTATAGAGGCACCCGTAGACGCGCGGATGGTCGTCGCTGTCTACGCGTAGCCAAAGGATGGACAGGTCCGAACCTTCAAGTCTGCCGAGGCGTCGAGAGCAGATGTCCTCTCTGACGTAAACGCAAACTCCAGCCCGAGGCACAAAGGAGTGTTCCAGTTTGTACCCCGGGTAGGAGAGATACGAGACATCAGCCGGAGAGGACACCTGCGTCTCGGTCAGAAAGAGCAGAGCCGGCCTCGCCGTCTCGAGATGGTAGTGGACGGCGTTTAGGTTAGAGTGAAGTCCCCTGATATTGCAGAAATTCACGGACAGCGTGGCAGGGGTCGCCTTGGTCTTGCTGCTCCGTTTGCCCCGAGCAGTTGTAGTCTTGAGCGGAATTTTTCCCCCCAGAATACGCGGGGCAGCCTGAGCACCCACGCTCAGAAGTGGAGAAACATGGTTGTGGATGCTCAGCGAGGGATTCTCCAGGGGTGCTGGTACCCTCCTGGGGTAGTCGATCATTATTTAATTCCGCTACCATGTTGATGGGGGGGGGGGGGATTTGGGCCTCCGGCCACCTGCACTCACCAGACGAAACGCGGAAGCAGAGCTGCCACTTCACGCCGGTATTCTGGGAGGTCGTGGTACCACCCCGGTTTGAGCCGGCCCATACGTGCAACAGCAAAGCTGCCGCGTGGCTCTACCACTGTTAATGATTTTTTTGTTATTTAATGATTTTTTAATGATTTTTTTTTATAATGATTGATATAATATATATTTATTAACTATTACTAAAAAGATGTATAAAAGATCCCTGTAGAAGAAAAATCATCTATTGTTATGAATTACTTTAGAAAGAAAGAAAGAAAGTAAAATATTTATTTGGCACACAAACGTAAAAAACACATAAAAGACATAAACACATTAATTTAGTTACAAAGATAAAAAAATTATTTTATGCTATTAATGCACCAAAAAGGTTTCCACTCAGCGTTAAATTCACGAAGTTTAACACTAAGAAACTTCATGAAAGCTGATTTTCAGTGGAACCTATATATAAGAAGGTAGATGGCGATTCCGTCAGCTTACACAAAAATCTTAAAAACCAAGTAACAGATCTTAAAATATGAAATAATGATAGTAAAAACAAAAAACGAAAACAACAAGGTTATAAAAATCGTAATAAAATCAAACAAAGGTACATGTGTGCGTGTGTGCGTGTGCGTGTGTACGTGTGCGCGTACGTGTGTGCGTGTGAGAGAGGGATGTGGAGACAGGGATGAAAATGATGAGTGACAACTAAATGCTAGACTTTTGTAAAGAGAGCAAAAACATTTTAAATTTTAACTTGAATGAATTTATGGTTTTCGAGTTTCTTATCGAGGTGGGGGGGGGGATATCATTCCAGCACTTAGTAGCGGAAAAACGAAAACTACCACGGAAAGCAGCAGTGTTATACGGTGTGTAATTAAGTCGCGGTGCTGCTCTAACGCAACGCTGTGAGAAATTGAGCTTGTCGTATAAGTAACAAGGTTCCCCAGTTTTAACCACTCCGAAGAGCAGGGAGGCGAGGGGAAGCTTCCGTCTGGTGGACATGTTCATCAAGTCGCGTCGGTTTAGGAATGGAGTGACATGAGATCGAGGTGGTATTGAAAAACAGAAACGTGCGCAAGCGTTTTGTATTCGTTGTAACAGTTTTTTAGTTCTTGCCATTAAGCATTCACCAAAAACTGCGTCACCATACGACAACTTTGACAAGATGAGAGTTTCACACAACTTAATGCGCATATCCACAGTCAAGTACTCGCGAATTTTGTATAAGAGTTTAAGTATATAGAAACAGTTACGCATTGTCTCTATAGCATGTTCCTCAAAGCGCAACCTGTCATCCATAATCAATCCCAGGTTCCGAGCTTCCGATACGCGATCAATGGGACAACTGTCAACAGAAATTTGGGGATTCCAAGCTAGGATGTTGTCAATTTGTTTACGTGTTCCGAGCAACATGTGCTTTTATTTAGAAGGGTTAATTATCAAACTGTTGTTACTGCACCATTTTGAAATACATTTCAAATCAGTTTGAATTTTACTAATTGCCAACTCTGTATCGCAAGGTTTAAACGATATAAATAATTGGAGGTCGTCAGCGTATAAGTGATACTTACTAAACTTGATTGTAGTAACGATATCTGATATGTATAATATATAAAGTAGTGGCCCTAAAATAGAACCCTGAGGTACACCTCTAACAACAGGCATTGTTGACGATACTATGTCAGAGCCGTTATCACCGAATATTTTAACGTACTGCAGACATTTGGAAAGGTAACTTGTAAACCACTTTAAAGTGGAAATGTCGAAACCATAGTAGGCTAATTTAGAGAGAAGAAGCGTTATGTTTATCGTATCAAATGCACGGGAAAAATCAAGCAAGACCAATAAAGTACCATGCCCACTGTCCCGTGCTAATAAAACTTCGTCCACGACATCGATCAATGCCGTGGTAGTACTACGAGACCTTCTGAAGCCGGATTGTTTTTCAGGTAGGATTTTATTTTCTTCTGGGTATTTTGTCATCTGTGTACAGACAATTCTTTCTAAGATCTTGGACATGAATGGTAGAATACTAATTGGACGAAACTCCCCATAGTTACTTGGGTTTGGTTTCTTTGGAATCGGTTTCACAGAGGCTACTTTCCATTTTTCGGGAAAAACGCTCGTTCTAATAGATTCGTTAACCAATCTCGTAATTAGTTGCAGAGTTTTTGGTAAAGTAAGCAATATCATATTTAAAATAATGCCATCATCGCCCCGTGCATTTGTTTTAAATGATTTTATTACGTTTAATACCATTGTTTCATCAACTGTCTTTAATTTCAAAGTATTAATTCCAAATATATCAAATTCAAAGCGAGTTAAGACTGAAAATCTAATGGGGTCTTCACTGATGTCGGGAAGCTTAAGAAAGTATGTATTAATATCTTCAGGATTACATAAATGGGATACCATATTACAGTCCTCTTTCTTAAAGTTGGCAACACTTTGTTTGATATTTTTCCATAAGAGTTTTGGCTTGTTAGTAAAATTGATATATTTATTGAAATATGCTATTTTTTCGCTACGTATTGTGGAATTTACAACGTTTTTCAGATCTTAATAGAATTTTATGTGAATATCTAATTTAGTAGTTTGACTTTTAGTGTATGCCCTATCGCGTAACTTCATCATATAGTAAAGGTTATCCATGGATGTGATTTATTTCTTATTAAAAAGTTCTCAGGAGCACGTATATTAAAAAGTTGAAGTGTTATATTTGTAAAATTTTCCACCATTTTATTTAAATCATCATTTATTATATTTTCCCATTCTATACATTCCAGGTCCAGATTAAAACTGTTAATGTCAATTTCTCTTAATGGTCTGTAAGTAATTAATTTAGGAGGTCCTCTAATATTTTTAATATTTAACTGGCATGTCAATAGCACGTGACTGCAAAGACCGGGAATATGATTAATAGATACACAATATACATTCGTATTGGCACATATTAAATCAATTAAAGTTTCACTATTTCCTATGAAATGGATCGGCTGGTTCACATACTAAGTTTCATGTAGTTAAAGAAATTTTGTAACTTTTGCGCGTTAGGTTTATGCGTATGTAACAAGTCAATATTGAAATCTCCAAGTAAGATGGTATGCTGGTAATTAGCTATAGAGGAAATCGAATCTATAAGTGCGTCAATAAATTTGTCTACATTAAGCCAAGGGGTTCCGTATGCTGTACCAATGGCTACATTGATACCATTAACATTGAGCCCTATCCACATCTGCTCAGCAGAGTCATTTTTACCTATTACAATTCTACGAGCAGTGATACCAAGCCTAATATAAAATCCCACGCCACCGCCTCGCATACGGACTTTAGGTGAACGTGGTAGGTGAACTAAGCGATAACCTGGTGGCGATGGTGCACGCTCTTGCTTAAGCAATGTTTCATTTATGGCTAAAATGTCCATGTCGAATCTCGATATCGCTGTGAGAAACTCATCATGGCGGGTTCCCAAAGAGCCAGCATTTAAAAACCTCATTGATAGTCTTTTATTTTTTTTAAATTTAAAAACAAAAGCATACGAAATTTGGCAGTGTTAAGTGACGCCATCCAATGGACCAAATAAAATAAGTAGAATAATTGTTATTTTCATAGAGTATGTAAAGTAGTGTATCGAATATGTGATTTGTTAAGTGTATGTAGGTAACGTCAATATGTATGGGGAGAATACAATGTAACGTGAGAGAATAACAACAATTAAATAAAGATTTACAATAAAAGTGGGTGGAAAAATGATTGGCATTAAAAATGAGACCATATTTAGGACCGAACAATACTATTGCCCAAAAACTTTAATTAAGTCGCTTTCAAAGCGCACTCGATGATGGGGCTCACCGTTTTCTCTTCTAGCAAAAACTTTACCTTGCCGTGTCCAGACATACTTCCAATTATTGCGTTTCGCTTCTGTACGTACTTTATAAAATGGTTGACGATTATGTCTGGTTAGCCTTTCATTCACATAGAAGGGACAGTCGACGGAATTGAGTCCCAGACCAACTGTAGTGCAGCCTCGACGGACTCGCGCCACTGCTAGCAGACTATCGCGATGGACAAGGAGTGCCAGCTGCACTACGATGGGACGCGGCCTAGATGTCTCATTCTGCTCACGCCGCAAAAGGCCTGCACGCTCTGCACTTACTATATCGCGATCTTCTAGCGCTACACCTAATTTAGTTGCAACTGCCAAAACAATATGTGTAGAACGTTCATTTTTGTCTTCGGGTATTCCCGAGACCTCGATATCATTGCCTAAGAGTTCCTGGTCACGGTCATTAAGATCAATTTTGAGATCCGTAATTGTTTTCTCGAAAAATGATATGTCATTGGACGTCTTTATCTGCGAATTTTTATCCACCACCTCCATTCGTGCCTCCAGGCAGTCAAGTCGCTGATTGCACGCATTTATTGCGGTAAGCAGGTTGGTCATCGTTCCCCTGAACTCTTGCATATCATTACGCATTTCTTTGATGTCTTGGCGCAATAGTTTTAGCTCATTTGCCAGATCACTAGTTGGCAAATCAGGTGTTGATGATGCGGATGTTGAAATGGCCGTAGATTTCAGCATTTTATTCGTGCGACTACGCAGAATCACATTTGTACGTCCGATGTCTTGGTTGCTATTTGGTGACAATTGCAGGTTGTGTTTTATTGGTATGTTGGTATTGTCAGTCTTAGGTTCATTGCTTCTAGATTCCTGACATTTCCAGTTTTTCTCATTATCTGCTGACATAATATAAAACCGCTTTTCTGACACGTTTGTGCAAGGAAGATCATAATATTTACAACAAACATGACATTTTAAATATTGCTTGTCGGTTATTTCTTGCGAACAACCATTGCATTGAATTTTACTTGGTACTAGTGGCGCCATCCCTTCCTCCACGTATGCAACTCAAATGAAAACGGTGACTTTATCGACTTGTGATCTGATCGGTTTAGTAACAAATGTCTATGGATGATTCTAGATGGCGTTGTTTCAAACAAATAAATTTGAAAGGATTCAAACTTAATTTAACGGTCACCCAGAAAGAATAACTTTTGTAATATTATCTTCCTCGATCAGATTTTGAAGTTCACTTGAATTTAACAGTCCAGAACTAATACTAACAACTTCGATTATAGTCTTGTTCCAAAATAAAATATAATTATTCGATTAAATATTTTTCAGCTAATTATCACAATATATTCACTTTATTCATTTAACAACAAAAAGCATTAATTTGTAGCACATATGAATAAAGTGAATATATAATTATCACAATATATTCACTTTATTCATTTAACAACCAAAAGCATTAATTTATAGCACATATAAAGATTCGAGTGATAACGACACTGAATAAGTACGTACTTATTTAAAAGATAAAACTTTATTTTCAATATTATGTAAGAATTTTATTTTTATTCGGTGCATAACGGCCCAAAAAAAGTGATGCATGTCTGGCTACCATTGTTACGTTTCTTTTAGAACGAACTGACGTAATGCGCGTTTTGTTTATTTTAAAGGGATGAATTTGCAAAAGATTAATATGGTGATTATATTGCTTCAAATATTTTTTTAAATATGAAACTATTATTAAATGAATTGCTGCATTACTTACGATAAATCGAAATATAAAAAATAACACATTTTTCGCGATGCACCGTAAGATTTTACGATGATTATAGGAACTACAGGCAATATTGTTTAAGAAACAAAACATATGTGCTGACTTAGGAATGTGAATAATATCAATATTTAAATATTGTTATCACATCTAAATTGAGATTTTGTAAGTTACGCCTTTTGACACTCGGCTCATATCCGAGGTCATCGTCCGTTTTTCTCAATCGATTTGGCACGAACTATATACGATCACATTCTTAATCTCATGGCTGTTAAACGGAAAATAAAGCTGCAGTCTTCAGCAGATATGACGGTACACAGGCAACTGAACAGACAGATCTCCAAATATATGCGGCGAGACTTACGCAACTTCAATACAGCTCGTACGGAAGGACAGGTTGAAGAAAATAAAGATTGTATGTGTAGTCTTTGCTAAACCTGTCTGCCGGAAAATTCTAATTGTCGAAGTTGAAAAACGACTGTGACAGCGTTATTTTTAGGACACCTGAGATTTTGAGTGAGATTGAGATCTTACACACATGGTATTCGGAGCCACTCGCAAGTATAAGTAGCGATCCAAGAGAAATTCTCATCTGACTTTATTCTAATGATGTATCGGAACTGAGTCTTAGCGAGATCTAGTGCCGTTTTTATTTATTTTTTATAGGAGAGGGGGCAAACAAGCATACGGCTCACCTGATGTTACGTGATTACCGCCGCCCATGAACAACTGTAACACCAGGGAAATTGCAGATGCGTTGCCGACCTTTTTAAAAGGAGTAGGCTCCTTTCTTGAAGGTCCCTAAGTCGTATCTGTCCGGAAAAATCTCTGGCGATAGTTGATTCCACAAGGAAGTTGTGCGCGATTTTGAAAAAATGTAAAATAAATAGTAATAGTATCTAGAATACTTTTTGCGTATCTCAAAACGTATCGAGTATCCTATGTATAAGGCTAGCAGTGAACTGTTACAGGCTGTAGAATAAAAATTGAAACATTACGAGGACTAGTAGTAGCTATAATGTTACCATTACAGCCTATTAAGGTGAAACCTACGGACTGCTCCCAGCCATTATCCCGCAAGATGGCGCTGAAGTCAACATTTTTAGTTTATTTGGGTTTTTGTGTAATTGGAAAATTATTAAGTCGTAGGGGTAGGCTTTGCGGTTATCGGATATTACATTTTATTGGAATGGGTCATATCATTGCCTCAAAATCCACCCAATTCGACACAAAGTTTGATTATAACATCTGTCATTGAATATCGTAGACAGAGAAACCTATAGACAAATGGACGCCTTCTTTCGCATTCGCACACGAAAAAGATAGATTTATGCATACGTCTTGCATAGAAATAAGACAGAGTGGTGTGATTGTTTGTCCCTTTCTCCGTGCCGGTTTTTTTGTTTAGCAAACTGCACTTTGCTAAACAACTTTGACAGTTCGTAGTAATCTTAGGAATTTACAAGTTGGTTTAAGTGAGAAAAAAGTGTTTTGTAAGCTTAAGATTGGTGAATCTTGTTCAGTTCAGTTCTTAGAACAATTAAATATTTTATCTAAATATGTTTAAAAGTCATAAAGATTATTGTATAACCTAAAACTACGTTATCGTCCTTTCTCACTCGAGGCCACGCTAATCATTAGTCTATAGGTTTCCCTGTCTACGTTGAATATAGTGTCGTTTACACACACAGACGTATCCCTATGTCTACGAAGCTTGAACGCTAGATGGCGTGTATGTAAAGAAACAAGTTATTAATTTTTCTGTATGTGTAAATTGGGTAGGCAGAACTACAAAACCCTATGTACGATTGTTATAAAATAAAAGTTATATTTGTTGGCGTAAACTATTTAATTGATTTACAACTTTGGGAAATAAATTATGTCAATATTGATTACAATATAGTGCAGTTTTATTTTATTACATTACACTATTGAAATTTATATCAAAACAGAAGTACCTATTTGAAGCAACATAATTATGCTGATACATACCTATTCACTCAAAACTAATAACACTGATGATTTGTAACAGTACCAATTATTACAATAATTAGACATTTCATAACCAACACGTAAGAAACTATAATTCATAAACAAGAGATAACAACAAATCTATAACATGATTTATTTTGTGATAATAACCAGGACGGGTGAAAATAATATTTCCTAATTTAGATCTAGAACACTAAAATGTACAAAAATTTACTTATCTTTTTATTTCAATGTTATCTTTATATTCCTGGTAGAATTGGCCGACGAATAAGAAAAATATAACTCAGATTAGAATAAGCTATTTATTTATAAACAATAAAGCACGGAACATAAAAAAGGATTTTATGTAGGTAACTGAATTATATTTGTTTCTGAACGCACCATAACCGTGAACTTGAGCTCTACAAAATATAACAAACTAATAATTGTCTGTCTGAAACTGTTTGCAAAATGCATAAAAGGTGTTTAATGTAACCCGGCAAAACCATATTTAGCAAATGTTTGCAAGTTTAATTTTGTTACTATTTTGGTAGTTTACTGAGTGTGTGTGACAGTGATTTATAATAATTGTATTTATTGTTAACCAAAAACACATTCATATATGAAACACTGACACGTATGACATTGGTAAAAAGTTTTGTGACGATATTTCAGAAAAATCACGGGCCAGCCTGCTGTTTGTAATACCACCGAAAACATAATTGCGTTTTTAGAATAATTAATTACTATACCTACGATAAATTACAATACAGTCTCAAATATATACTAAAGAAATATTGCAATTCGAGTCAAAGAAAACATGCATACAAAATATGTATAATACACAAGAAATACCCCGCGCAAATCATAGCGCGTGACAACCGAAATCAGAATGTATTTTATAATACTGCGGCTACACTAAGGAGAAATGCCGTTAATTATCGCGTTGATGGACGTTGAATGTAGGTGTGGCCACGAATTATCGCAATAATTTGACATCGGCATTAACAATGCAGTTTCCCGTTTGGCGATAACTCGAGTGTCGGTACATCAAAGGATTAACGCGCGAATTATCGCGTTGAAGCGTCCACACTACGTTTGTCTCATTGAGAGCAACGGGGTTGCACGTATGGCTGCGATGGAGTGGAGTTATGAAAAAGCTTTTCGAGATTGAATTAAAAAAAATACTTCAAAAGTACTTTAATTTACAGTATGAAACTAAGAAAAATAAGCACGAGAAAAAAAAACAATTTTTGCAGGTCGAAATTCATAGTGTACAGTGGTACGAAACCCTGGGTACGTGTATCTAATTCGCACTTGACCAGTATTTATGATTGACTTATTAGTTATTATTTCATTAAAATATATTTACGTTTGTCTTATTATTTAGACATCTTTCTAGTGCAATTTATATAAATAAATAAAATAAAATAAAATAATTTATTTTTCTTCACAAAAATTAAATGAATGACATAGTTGACTGGGATCTCCATTTAAGCAAGTAATGCCTGTGTTTGGAAATCCCACTCTTCCTTATCTAAACATACATTTTTTAATTTAAAAAACCAAAAATAACAAAAACAAATTACTCGACTTTAACAACCAAAATTTACAAAAATTACAAAAGTGTGTATGTGTGCATGCGTGCGTACGAGCGCGCGCGCATGTGTGAGTGTGTGTGTGCGTGCGTGTGTGTGTGTGTGTGTGTGTGTGTGTGTGTGTGTGTGTGCGTGTGTGTGTGTGTGTGTGTGTGTGTGTGTGTGTGTGTGTGTAATGAAAAATCATTTTGTTAAATTATATTGTATATAGAAGTGAATTATGAAATGCGGTACAGCAGAAATTCGGTTTCTTCATAAGTTTTCGACTGCACCCACTTAAGTATCAGGTTTTTACACTCCCTGTACGTTTTGTTGTATATGTTCAATTCTCTATTTATTTTATTGTATAGGAATGCAGAACATGAGCTAAATTGCCTACTAGCAAAAAC